CAGATTACCAAGACCTCTGTTTTTGCAAGTTCTCCAGCGCATCACCCCCCATATCCAGCGCTCACCTACCAACTTTCGGTTGCCTCTACCGGCTGGACAGAAGTTCGCTTGCGCACTGATCCGATGGGCGACGGACGGGTACTACCGGCAATCGTCCCACAGTTTGGGTATGGGCCTTGCCAGTGCGGTGAGAAGCAACGAGGACGTCGCAGATGCTATCCTCCACGAGTACGAACACCTGCTCCAATTCCCCACAGGAAGATGTTTGGAAGAGGTCCTGAACGCTTTCGAGGCGAAGGGGTTTCCCGGATGTGTGGGGGCCATCGACTGCACACACGTGTACATTGACAAGTCGAAGGGCACGCGGTCAGTGTGCTACTATCATCACACGAGAGACTTCTCTGTCGTCGCCCAGGTGGTGTGTGATAGCAAGTGCAGAATTGTCAGCGTGTACGTCGGTTGCCCTGGTTCCGTGCACGACTCTCGTGTGTTGCGTATGTCACCGCTGTACCACAACACCATGGCAGGCAGAGGTGTGTTATGCGAAGGTGGAGCTATCCTGCAGGACGGGACACATGTGGGTCGTTACCTGCTTGGAGATGCCGGTTACCCCATTCTCCCGTGGATCATGACACCTATTGGGAAGATTCGCCAGAACTGATGCAGATCGCACTTAAGACGGATGTCACTCGGCGGTGAGATCTTGTATAAAGCGGACATTCGGACGTTTGAAGACCGTGTGGAGGAATTTCATCCGCACTCAGATCGCGAATTTGGAGACGCTGCGCAAGGAATTCATGGTTGTGTGCATACTACACAACCTCATGATTGAGCACAGGGTGGAGATCGACCCGGAGCTGTTGAACCACAGTAGCGACAGCCAGGGTGACGGGCAGCCACGCAACCCCCGTCGACGCCGGCGCCGCAACCGCCGATTTCCACGTCACCTTCCTAATCTGAACATCGAAGCCGTGCCGGAGATTGATCCTACTTACGGCTCCGACCTCGGCGCGAGGGTCAGGGATGCCTTGATCGGACACGTGCCCCATCATGTGGATGTTCATGGTGCGCCGCCGCCATGTCCGTGGAGATAGCGCAATTGGCGATGTGTGTGTGTGTGTGTGTGTGTGTGTGTGTGTGTGTGTGTGTGTGTGTGTGTGCGCGCAACTGTTGCACCGAGCACGAGTGATGTTTTTTTTTCTTTCTTTCGGAAGGACTTTTATCGCTCGTCTCTCTCTCTCTCTCTCTCTCTCTCTCTCTCTCTCTCTCTCTCTCTTTCTCTCTCTCTCTCTCTCTCTCTCTCTCTCTCTCTTTCTCTCTCTCTTTCTCTCTCTCTCTACCATTTCTAGCATTCCAGGACTATTATCCATCTCTCTCTCTCTATCCAGATTGGTCGGTTGCTCGCTTTCCCATCTGTGAACGCCGTCACTTCACATGTCATAGCAGGGTTTTTTTTTTTTTTTTTTTAACGACTCCGCAATATTTGCATTCATCGTGAACGTCAATTGTTTTATCGTTCGATAGACAATATCATTGTTTGGTCAATTGTCACTTCGTCACATTGTCACACTCATTGTTTGATTGTTTGATTGATTGATCAATTGACTGATTGATTGAATGATTGCTTCGTGAGGGTGTCACTGTCTTACTGATTGATTGATTGATTGATTGGTTGATTGGTTGATTGGTTGATTGGTTGATTGATTGGTTGATGTATTGATTGGTTTATCCTTTTACGGCTCACCGAACAATTCATTGAAGGATCTTTTGGTA